CATTCATGTCGACCAGACGTCTGCCTTGTGAAGAGTAGCTGTTACGAAAGTCGGAGGAAGAGTCCAGGGTGTGGTGGGGATTGAAAGCAGCCTGTGCCTGTGAAAACAGCTTAACCGTTTGTCAAAAAATGGAATTAGAAACTCACCCTCAAGGGCATTTTCACGTGCTAGCATCTGCTGAGCGAGGATAGCAGGATTAGTGATTTTGTGAATAAACTGGCACCTGAATTTTGATTAATTAGAATTCGCGGTTAACATCCAAGCAAAGCAGTAATGCCAGAATTAACAAACCTAGCTCCATATTTACAGTAACCAGTGTTCGAAAACTTGTCACAGAGCACTGTTTTGTATTTAGGATGACTACGACCGCGAGGCTAAACTATAAAATATCCCCAACTCATTTCAATGACCACAAAAGCTGGAATACCTGAGCAGGAAGACGTAGTTCATCGACACCATGAGCAAAACGGCAGTCTTTTCCATAGCTGCACGTCTGAGTACGTCTGTACGATTCACATAGAGCTGTTTTATATGCGTCTTCCTGAAATGGAACACGCTCACTCGCAAGCGCCAAAAAATAACATATGGATATCCCATGAAGCTAATTTCATATGAAAATGACCTCCAGCGATTGTTAAATTGTTCCCATAGCTTATCAGGCAGGCATCTCACACCCCATATACCGTGGCTGACACATCATTTCAAACGCTTTTCAGGTTCACGACAGTGATTGTGTTACTCCCGAAGCCATTGGCGTCATTGGCGGAACGGCGTTGGAATCTGCTCTAACCCCACCTACACCGCGCTGAGGACTGTGATCAGACTGTTTTCTAATGCTCTCTAATAAGTGACATGCGCACGTTGAAATCCGCCTATTAGCCATCACAATCACTGCCCTAAGGGTAAGACAACCCTCAATATCCAATAACCCTTACAGGTTTCTCAGGTTTAGACAAGAGCGAATTCATCCACTACCAGAAATAGTCAAAGTGGCACTGTAAATACCTTTCGCTTTTGTCGAAGCAATTCTTCGCGCTCATCATCGGCCAATGTACACGGATCTTGAGAAGCCAGAGCGGATTTCACACAACTGTTCAACTGTTCACGTAGGTATGCATCCTGTGCCGATAAGTTTCGCAGAAGATTCTGTAAACACATGAGTCGATGATTTACCCTGAACTCGAAAATTCTGACTGAAAAGTATCTTATCATTTAGTAGAAGCTCATTTCCTTCCTACCTTATTATTATTTTTCGTACTCAGGTATAGGTATTTGTTCAGTGATGTTGTTTTCAAGTGCAACGGACACTTCATGAAAACAAATAAATTAATGGGGTTATATTCACGGAGCTCACTCCAATGCCACACTTGCAACTTCGTCTTTGTTTCACAGCGACAGTGGTGCAAAAACGGAGTGGGGGGGGGTCAAAAGGATTTTTCACCGAATAGCGGGGTGGATTCGACGCGAAGGTCTGCCCCTAATATAATTATTCCATTTGGCGGGTTCGCGATTCTTTAGGCGTAAACGGAGCAGCAAGCAGAAGTATAGGCAGTTCACGCCACCGGAACGGGCACGAATGCATAGCAGACTGTCCTTTATTGGAATATACTCACAAAAACAGATTTAGCGCGTTTCCATTACCCCATGGCCACAACTGACAGCGCCTTTTTTCCTAACGGTAAACCACAGCTGCCGCTACACTTTTTACTTGGAGTGTCACCAAAAAGTGGAGCGATTACGGATTTATGGATCGTGAAAGACAAACAAACAACAGTGCTTTTCTGACATCGTATCTTGAATTTGAACGGACAAGAAGAACTAAAGTCCTTGGGTCGAACGTGGAAGCACAGAGAAATCACCCACCACATCAAATCCCAGCAAATCCGGTGGACAGGTGGTGTTATGCTGCTTATCGTCAACCTCATACATGGAATAATCGTCGAAATTCGTTCTGATAAATGATGCTCCAGTCTTGTCCGCGTCGTCGCTTTGTTCCAATTTCGTGTGGATATCAGGAAGGCGGTCAGACATTTCTGAAAACACAAAATTGTCACTGTAAACAGCTTAGAAGGAATAAAACACAAGAGACCGTAAAGAGATGGTGAACGATTCTAGCACTAAGAAACTAACAAAAAGGAAACTGCATAACTATAAGGCATGAGTAAGGAACTCCACTCCACACGACTGCCACCAAAAGATTGAATGGGATCCCATTTAGGTCGACGTTGGCACCTACCTATTTCGCGCAATTTTGTCAAGATAATTGGATGATTCTGATTAGATCAAAACGGTGAAGGCGCTCATGTCCTTAGGGGGGACATTGGAGTGGGTGGGCCACTGATAAAACCCAGAACTAAGCTTTAGGGAAGGGAAAGAAATTGTGGGCAACGATTATTCTTCCTCGTGTTTATTCCCAGTGCTGGGCTTCCGTTAGTGTAGTGTCACCCTACAGCGCTTTTGATTGCGCTGTTCAGCTGTCCCCTAAGGACATGCAGCGCGCGAATGTGGAATTTGCATTCTTTTGTCATGCTAGTGCAATCACTGTCAGAAGTGCCACTCGAAAGTTTCTATTGTAAGTTTTTTTGAAGGGAACGAAAAGTGAAAAATGCGTAAAGAATTTTCCCTCAACATAAATGGGTGCAATGGCGGCTCGGGGGGGAGAGGGGGGTGAGGGCACTCTGTAAAAAGTCTTCTGACCAACATAAGCTGAAGCAGCAGCACGAACTCGCAGAATAAATTGCTTCGCGATCTCCCTTCTCAATAAGCTAGGCGTGAAGATGAGTTTTCCGTAGATCTCGGGATGCGATGGTTCGTCGGTGCCCCCGAAGCTGCATTTGTGCCCAGTTATGGACCGAAGTTTGTGTGAAACCTCCCAATGATTCTTGAGGAAAAAAAAATGGAAAAGAGGAGTGAAAACACAGGGCAGTGTCAAGCAAGCGCGTAAGATCAACAGGAAAGTCAAATGTTTTGTGCCAATAGGCCAAGCTTGCGAAGGTCGGGAGGAGGTTTATGGCCGATGTCATAGTTTGCGAATCGAGCGATTCGCTAGCGAATCGCGCTGATCCGAGCGTTGCGCCAGCGAATCGAACGTTGCACCAGCGAATCGAACTTTGCGCCAGCGAGTCGAACGATGTACCAGCGAGTCGAACTAGGTACCAGCGACTCAATAGTGGCGGGACCCAACGTTAAAGGAAGCCCGCCACTTTCAAACAGCGTCCACTGTCACGTGACACTGTTTGAAAGTGGCGGGCTTCCTTTAAAACGTTGGGTCCCGCCACTATTGAGTCGCTGGTACCTAGTTCGACTCGCTGGTACATCGTTCGACTCGCTGGCGCAAAGTTCGATTCGCTGGTGCAACGTTCGATTCGCTGGCGCAACGCTCGGATCTAGCGATTCGCTAGCGAATCGCTCGATTCGCAAACTATGACATCGGCCTATGACGCCATCTATTGGCGTAATAAGTCCAGAAACCAGTTACAAACTCGTCATATACACAGCCTAATAGATTCATCAGTTGTCGACTGTTGATAACTTGATGCCTCAAAATCTCGCTTTCTCCTCGTTGCTCCTCATCTCGCTTCTCAAATTGATTTAAAAAGAGGTGTAGCTTGTTGAGCCTGATGCAGGCAAGCTGACGGACAATATGTTGCTGCGGACCGAGGGGTCCGGCACAGAACATGGAACGTGGTAGTTACGCTCTGTGGCTTCCTAGGCAATGCGATTTTCGGGACATATGAGCACACCACTTTCAACGCAACGAAAGAGCAGAGATGTTGTGAGATAAGGGTGTAGGTGCGGAGAGTGGCCAAGCACACTAAACGTTGGTCGATTATAAGCTTTGCGGGTAACAAGTGCCTGCGCGGGGTCTGCTGCCGTCTGAAACTCTCTTCGAACCTAAATTAGCGTTCGATAATGAGCTATCGTTACACTCTAATTTCTTGTCACTTGATGAGCAGCTGTATGATTGGCTTGTTCTACTTCAGATTCGCTCCTCTGCCACCGGAGCTAAGCTGCGGGCAGCTGTCGATCCTTCCAACCAACCGTCTGCGCTCTAGTTTTCGCGACAGACACATAGGGGCCGACTGCAGCAAGCTCTCGCGGTTAAGAATAGGGGAAGAGTCCAGAGATGCAGAGTTTTGGGGACCCATCCCGTCGTTGGGGCTTGCTGCACCCGGCCCCAGAAGTCACGTAACCCTTAGGGTCTGCGCAGACCACACTGTACCCAGTAGCCGCATTTTTATACACAGGTTCGGGATTTATGATTTCCGCCTAACCGTCTGATTGATCCCTTGTTATGTTTCGAAGGCACCTAGCACTACCTCAAGCTGTGAGTGTTTCGCTTGAGAATAATGTAGAATATGAAGTGGTCGAGAACAAAGGAGAAGAAAACACCAAAAGATTGGAATTCAGTGAATTCCCTTCTCGCGAGATGGACAGTAACGACGAAGAGCCTTTGGGCGGGCGAGAGAGCACAGTGACGAGGGAGAAGCAGACATCTCACCGCGTGGGCTGTTGTTTTGCCAGCAACAGGACGAGCCAGCATCGGGTTAGCAAGACCATTGCGCTCTTGTCCGCCAAGCCGCGAGAGTCTATGTCTGGGAATTCCTCTATACTAATTACGGAAGACGTTTTTCCTTCAATATCGATCCATTTCGCACTTCTACGTTCATTTTCAAGCGAAACAAGCGTGCTATTATGGTCTTAGGATGAGTCTTTGACCCTTGCACGTGCCTTTGGACGTCAGAAACCAGGTTTGTGTTTGCTCTATACGTCCTGTCACATTCAAGTGCTGATCCTTTAAGTTCTAACTGCCTTACTCTAGTTTTTCTTCGGCCTGTATTTTTTGAATTGAGAAACTGTAACAGCGCTTGGACATGAAAAGGTTGTAAGTAACGTTTCGCTTATGGAGCGTTCAGAGTTGGCGATCGTACGTGCGATTAGGCGATTAGTCTACAATGAAAAATATACGTATAGATTGGCGAATAGGCGAGTAGGCGAGTAGGCGATTAGGCGAGGAAGACTAAATACGCGCCTGCTCGCCTAATCGACTACTTGCCTAATCGCCTGATCGCCTAATCGCTCGTACGATCGCCAACTATGAACGCTCCATTACCGATACCTACTGATTGACTGTTTACTGTGCATATCAGACAGTTAGGAGAGGTTCATTTTATACGAAGTCTCATCATGGCGCCGGACGGGAATGCTCGAAGAGTTCATACTTGTGTGAACGATCTCATCAAGTCAA